TTTTTACTTTTTATACGTACATAGACTGGGATTCCGACCTACGATGATAGCTGATCGATATTCTCAAGCAAAAGGCTTCCTCGACACCTCTCTCTAACAATATTACATACTAGCTGCTGCCCGCGACTATGTCTACGTAGAATAGGCTGAAGGCGTAAAATTCAGACAGAAAGAGTGATATACATAAAATATGTATATAGATTACAGCCTATGTCTTATTCTGATTTAAAAGCTATATTATTGTAAAGTTTCATTAAAATCCATTCAGTAGTATTTGCGTGAAAGAGTAACAAACATCCATCCATACGTACTAACTTTCGCGTTTATAATATTAGTAAGGAAATTGTCACAGACATTATATGTCGAAAGGTAAAATTAACAAGCATTGCGGAAGCGTATACAGACAGAAATTAAACTGAAAATATATGACCAGCATCGCGACCCCAAAAATAAATACAGGTCGTAACGTGCGAGTACGCAGCCGTACCTCACAAGATAATTAATTTATATTGAATTGAAATAATAATAAATTGAATTTAGACGCCAACTATCGACCAAAAAAATAAATAAATAGCATTTCGATACTCCAAACTGTATCATCTATATATGATAATATGTGAAGTAAAAACATTTCTTTTACGAAAATTGCGCGGACCGGAGAAGTATATTTCCCACACTTACAGTTTATATTTACATCGTATAAAACAAAGTCGTCCCGCTGTCCGTCCGCCCCTATGCCCTATGTATGCTTAGATCTTTAAAACTACGCAACGGATATTGATGCGGTTTTTTTACTAGATAGAGTGTGATTCAGGAGGTAGTTTTATATGTATAGTTATATATTTATACGGTATATATTTTTATGTATAGTTTTATATACGGCGTGTCGTTACCATCGCGACAATAAATGAACACACATATAGGGGAAGTTATCCCCTTTAAAGTTGTATTAAACATTTAAATTCTTTAAACATCAAAATTTATATTACAAGCCTCTCCTTCTAACAGTATGTTTTGTCTCTTTTAAATGCATTCAACCCATTCATATGCTTTGTGACCTTTACAAATGAACTTTACATTAAAGTTTTATACGTAAGGGTGTTCTAAAATTCTTTGTTTTGGAAAATTTGATAACTCAGTAAATATTGATGTTTAAAGAATGTAAATCTTTAATATAATTTTAAAAAGTTATCCTCTATATGCGTGTTCATTTATTGTCGCGATGGTAAAGACACGCTGTATACATTACGCGGGCGGGCCGCTAGTACTTTATATAGATGGGATGGGAGAGGGTGCAGAATGCCAATATATTTTTTTAATTACGTTAAATCAATAAAAAAAAACATTACACACTCTACCAAGTATAATTAATTATGGTCGAATTCCGACCCGTAGACTAATACTAGTCTTACCAAATATGTTTAGCAAGCAAACAGCTTTATATAAACTAAGCTACTCTTGTCGGCACTGAACGCTATCAAAATCGCAACCACCAGTTTGTAGCCGAGCGGGTCTATCGGAACTAGAAATCAGTGGTTAATTATAAGTTAACTGTTCGCCGGTTTAATCTCATCTATCGGAGTTAGCGATAAGAACGATAAGGCGAAGTCGTTACAGAGGCAGGGGTGCTTCGCCCGCTCGTAGGGCTCCGGCGGACTAAAAGTAAAGCATAAGGCGACTGAAAGGGGACGCGGTTGGCAGCAGCTCGGTGGTCTCGCGCTGCTGCAAGATGGCGAGGGGATAGGGGAAGGTTTATACGACGGTGGTAGGGCCACACGGTAGCCTCGGCTGTTGCACGAATGGGCAGGCTCGACCAGGTAAGTACCACGACCTCACAGAATACCGGCGTAAAGTCGAAGTACGACAAATACTTTAGAGTTTCGTCTGGTGAGTGAGGTGGCCGGAGCCCGATTTTCAAATGGTTGTCAACGCATCTGCAACCCTCGGGTGTAGCGGATGTCCTAGGGCGGCGGTATTCACTTAACATCAGGTGAACCGTCCGCTCGCTTGGCAACTTTTCACATAAAAAAAACCCTTCTCCGAGGCGTGCTCACGAGCAGTACCGAGGGACACCGGTGCGTTCCGTGGGAGATACCGGGGTCCCTCCACGATGAAGAAGGTGGCCCCCGAGGGGTTTTTAGTGGGTAAAAACCCCACATAACCCTTTCATGTAAGGTCACACAGGGGATCTTTTGAAGATTTATTTATTTATTTTATTTAGATTTGATTTTTTGCCGTTTGTATAGATAATGTTATGGTACCGAACCTGACAATAGGGATGTTAAAAGTGCATCTTATCACGTTAAGATAGTTATATGCCCAATTTTCAAGAGGTTGTCAACGCATCTGCAACCCTCGGGTGTAGCGGATGTCCACGGGCGGCGGTATTCACTTAACATCAGGTGAACCGTCAGCTCGCTTGGCAACTTTTCACATACAAAAAAAAATGTACATTTTCGATCTATAAGAAAAGTTGAAGTTAATAAAAAATCTTAATCGATTCGATTATTAAGTATGTAGCTTCTATACGTTGTATGCGCTTTTGTATTCGTGTATAAATTGCAGGGAATTTCTGCTTTTCGATTATAGCATCTGTTATAACATTGGAAAAAAAATAATAACGTTGAATTAATTTTTTGAAGTTTTTTATAGTGCTAATCTCTGCACTTAAGATTGAACATTAAAACATGTAGAAAAAGTACGAAAAGATTGTCGCCGCTGTGGGAATCGAACCCACGTCTTCGGCATTCGCGGCCTGACGCTCTAGCCACTGAGCTAAACGGCTGATAGCCACAGCGACGAAAATCTTAACGCAATCTTTCTACATTGTTATTTAGCATTTGAAGCAATTATTGAATTATTTTCGATTTTACACCTACCAAAATGTCACTTACAGAAACTGGATGCCTATTAAAATAATAATTTGTGTACGTACATATCAAAATGTATATTTTAACAACTGTATACATAAGGAAGCGGAGACAATTTATTAAAGGAGTAATATGTATTAAACACATTTGAAATTATTCATTTAGTATACAAAGTGATTATATCAAAATCAACGTATACGACGTCCACATACATTAACATTTAAAGCAAACCATCATAAACCATCACGAAGACCATAATCTATGCTAGACTCATTGGTTTACTCCTTATTTATAAATTCCTTTTATGTTTATTCTTTGTTTTACTTTAACTTATTATTATTTTTTTCCCTCTTGTAATTAGGTACTCCCTCTTGTAACTAGTACTCTAAGGTCATTTAATTTATTTGCTTATTTTTTTTTTCTCTGTTTGTTATTTTGTAATTATAAACATTGTAACCAAATGTAGTATGTGTGCAGATGAAGTGTCGGATTAAATGTCTTAATGTAATGTTTAAATAGTCGGGTTTCAAATCCACAACTTAGGCACGCCCCGTTTCTGTAACCTCAACTAATCGGCTGTCAAATGGCTTGTCAAATGTCATTTTAGTTGCCAAAAGGATGGTTAAACTGTCTGAAATGATCAGAACTATCTTCTCAATGATCAGAATTCGAATCTACGATGATCAGCAGATAGCGAGCGTTAAAGTTCGAATCCGTATTGAAATCCTTGTAACTAGGCCACTAGTTTTACACTTGTTAATTAACTCTAATAGTAAAACTTCATTGAATCTAATGGGTACCTTTAAACGAGCAATTCTTGTAAGTGTGTAAGTATACAGCGTGTCGTTACCATCGCGACAATAAATGAACACACATATAGGGGATAACTTTTTAAAGTTGTATTAAACATTTAAATTCTTTAAACATCAATATTTACAGAGTTATTAAATTTTCCAAAACAAAGAATTTTAGAACAGCCTTACCTATAAAAGCGTAACGTAAAGTTCATTTTTAAAGGTCACAAAGCATACGAATGGCTTGAATGAATTTAAAAGAGACAAAACATACTGTTAGAAGGAGAGGCTTGTAATGCGACGTTGTGGCAACGAATGAAAAAGTCTCTGAATGTATAAATCAGTCAGTTGTAGTTGTATAGGTGTTACAAATTTTGTTTCTTTTTTACTTAATTAGTTTGTTTGAAAAATATTTTTTTATAATTATGGATTTTGTTTAACGTTAATATTTTTTATGATTATTGGCAAGTAGCGTTAGACGTGTGTTCATTTATTGTCGCGATGGTAACGACACGCTGTATAATCTGAATCTCGAAAATAGCTTCAACGGTCTTCACGAAGATTAGAATGCGATACGATCTAGGTAAGCTATTTTCAGAAAATGTCGATTTATCCGTATTCTCAGGGAATGAAATACTGCTACAATATGATTAGAATAGTAAGGTAAATTTCGCCACCATCTACAAGGGTATAGTAGCTCAGGTGGGAAATCGGCCGGGCCCGAATGCCGGTTCGAGTCCAGATGATTTTTTTCCCCTTTTTTATTCAAGTTCCTTCTTTTATGAGAAAAACTATTATTGGGAGCCGTTTATTAACGCATACATAAGACATCAGTTATCTTAATTGCAACAAATCACGATTAAATAAAAAAAAAAGCTTGTTCATCCACGTACTACACCAGTGTATACAATATTGTAAAAAAAAATATTCTTCATAGTCAATTCAGTTAAATATACCTCTAACTAGCTGTGCCCGCGACTTCGTCCGCGCGGAATTTAAAATGAAAAATCTAAAATAAAAGTAGCCTAAGTTACTCCTTATTACATCAGCTATTTGCCAGTGAAAGTCCCGTCCAAATCGGACCAGCTGTGCCAGAGATTAGCCGGAACAAACAGACTGACAGACAGACAAAAATTGTAAAAAATGTTATTTTGGTATATGTACCGTGTATACATCCATATGCATTTATTAAAAAGCGGTTATTTTAATATTACAAACAGACACTCCAATATTATTTATCTGTATAGATATCACGTTATTTTCGCACACGATGGCTTTGTACAGGGAAAATTCTATAAACAATTGAACGAACTCGCATAAAAGAATGATGACTTACATTGCTCATGTAAGGTGTCCAGTCATGATTGCTATTCTCCCACTCGGGCGGCGGTTTCTTCTCGCGCAGTCTGCTGATTATCGTGGCGTCCGAATCCCCGTCGACAATGGTACGGTCAAAGTCAAATACTGCTAGCGACGCCATGCTTTGAAAATGCGCGCGCACTCCACAGCGGTTGCGGAAACACTGAGCCAGCCGGGCCAGTGAGCTTCAGTTCAGCTCGCGTGACCCTGAGGAAAATCTCGTGCGATTATGTCATAGATGACACATGCCAAGAGCATTGCGGAATATTTCAGATTTTTTCTAATCCGTATTCTGTCAGAATACGCGAATTTTCAGTTTCACGCACGTACGTCGTAATCGTAAATCGACGTACATCATACCAGTGTTACCAACTCTTGCAAATATTTGTCCCTAAACCTTAAGTCAAAACCCCCTAGAACCCTCGAATAAAATAATATTATAATAAATAGTGCCAAGGTTTTTGCCTTAATTTCCAAATGAATGGTATAGATACATTATGGAAATTGCAACGAAATGTTGGTCTTATAAAAAGCATAGCACTAGAAGTTGTAGGGAATTGAATGTAATAAAAAAATGTCTCTTATGATTTCCTTACACGACCAGTGGTTATTCCAAAAATTGGATTTATAAATAGATTTTTTTTATGTGTAAAGTTGCCAAGCTAGACGGTTCACCTGATGTTAAGTGAATACCGCCACCCATGGACATCTGCTACACCTGAGGGTTGCAGATACGTTGACAACCTTTTGAAAATTGGGCCCCGACCATCACAATCACGAAATGCGAAAGTATTATATTTCCACTTTACGCCGGTATTCAGTGAGGTCGTGGTACCTAGCTGGACGAGCCAGCCCATTCGTGCAATAGCTGAGTGGCCCTACCACCCTAAAATATAAAAAAGATTAATAACTTTTGATGATCTCTTTAAAATACATCCTACGTTACCGCTATTGAATGCGTTTTGACGGGCACGTTTTAATATATAGAGACTGATTCCTTACGAGTTATCTCTACTCTCCATAGTTCAAACCCGCATCTTGGTAATGAGAATCCGTACTAGATGTCGCTAAGGTACTAGGTCAACAAATGAATATGATTGGGTAGATTGCATTACTCCTTTTATTTTATACCTTTATTTTATACCTTTATTTTATACCTTTATTTTTCTTAATAAAAAATATACTAAGAAGTAAAAAGTAGGGAAAAATGTAAGAAGTAAAAACTCCCTCAAAATAACCCTAAAAATATAATGCCTCTAAAAATCCCAACGCGTGTGTTTACCCCTAAATTTGGGGGAAAACCTCTAAGTTGGCACCCTGCATCATACATAACATTTCAGTTTGGCGTGTAAATTTTCGTTCAGAAATCTTATAAGTGAAAATGATTTCAATTAAAATAATAATGTATTCATAACAAAACGTTCAAATTATTATAAATAGTTTGCATATGACATGTATATGTAAAAATAAAATAAATTTATAGGGTTTTCATTTGCATAATGTGAATTGTTAATCAGTTGATAAAGTAGATTCTATAACTTTCTTTCGTAATATTACATTTAAAAAAATAACTTCAATTATTATTATAAATTAAATTAATCATAAATCATAGCGTTAGGATTTTAGGTAGATTATGGTTAATTTGTGTACGTCACTTGGCATCAGTAATAAAAAAAGTAACATTGACGGATACGGATAGGACAAGAAAAGTGACATATAACCTCTCGTGTAGGATTTTTTGTAAATTCTTTAAAAGTTGCATTTCACCAAAGAACATGGCTTCATTAAAAGTGTATTCAGTAGGTAGGCTAGTGAAATACGTCACGGACTCTAGTCTTAGGACGTTTCGAGGAAATATTTACAGGTAAACCATTGCGCAACCAAGCTTACAACAACCTACAATTTTATAAAAATATTTTAAAATTAAACAGCTAATATTGTAAATGCACAATTATAAAGCATTGAATATGCCAATTACTTTCTTTTGAAAAACTTTTACTGGCTCTACAGATGTGATCAATGTATTTTTAATATTTCATCATGCAGAAATTTAAATTGTTTATAGTGCTAATCTTTGCACTTAAGATTGAACATTCAAATATGTAGAAAAAGTGCGAAAAGATTGTCGCCGCTGTGGGAATCGAACCCACGTCTTCGGCATTCGCGGCCTGACGCTCTAGCCACTGAGCTAAACGGCTGATGACCACACAGACGAAAATCTTAACGCATTCCTCTACATTGTTTTCTTAGCATTTGAAGCAATGCTTGGAGCTCCCGCCTTAACCTTCGATGTTAGGTTTTTTTTTTATGACCACCAAGAAATACGAGCTGAATTGACATATTTACAACAAAAAATGGCGGTTTTCTATAGTAAAAATCACACTATTTCATTATTTATTTTTTCGAAAACTATAAGCGACCGCCAAATTCTGCTTGTTGATAAATTCATAAGTGAGTTTTCTCTATCGTTTAAAATTTATTTGATTTGAATTACGCCGGAGTTAAAGTTATTTACATTTACCCAGGATACTTACACTAGACCTGGTTTTGAGCCTGACAAAAAAATTAGTCCCTTCACTGTCCACGTGTCTCGTATGGAAGCTCATCCTTCTGAAGGGCTCTCTATTAAACTACTTAATTTTGCACAGCTACTACATAAAAACAAGATTTCTGGTATTGTGTGTGATGGCATCAAGGTATTAGGCCGAAATAAAATTTCTGTTCAATTTGAAAATTACGTAGAAGCCAATTCCTTTATTGAGAATTCTATATTACAAAAAAATAATTTCAATGCAGAGGTCCCAAAGTTCCTGGTTTCTCGAATGGGTGTTGTCTGCCAAATACCCTTGGAGTGGTCCCTTGAAGAACTGGTTTCTGGGATACAATGCCCTCCAAATTGTGGTCCTGTCATAAGAGCTAGAAGGTTAAATGTGAAAAATCGGCAAAACAATAATGTTAGACCAACTTGGGAACCATCCACCACAGTCGTGTTGACCTTCCTAGGTCAAACTCTCCGATATAAAGTTTATTGTTTCCATGCTTCTCTCCCAGTCTCCATATACCAACTCCCTACCATACAATGCCATAACTGCTGCAGATTTGGCCATGTCCGTGCTCAATGTCGATCTAAGCCTAGATGTTTTAAGTGTGCTCAACAACACCCTGGGGACTCCTGTACAGTACCTGATCCTGTTTGTCTATTGTGCAGAGGCCATCATAAAGCCACAGAGCCTATCTGTCCAGAACATTTGCGCCAGAAAAATATCAAACATGTAATGTCACAAGAGAATGTTAGTTATACTGAAGCCTCACACCTATTTCCCCGGTTTATGAACATTCTTCATCCTCTCATAGGTCGCCATCTGTTGTCTACAATAAATCTCTTCCTCAGCAACCCCGTCCTAGATCCCCTCAGAGTCAATCTTATGATAAACATGCTCATCAAGAAATTGTTAGAACTCCCAAATCCTCCCAACCTAATGGCAGTGCGCTTGGAACACTTAGTCCTACTCCTTATGCTACTCCTAACGATAATCTGATTGAGCTACTCACATGCTCTTTGATTAACATGGTATCAAAATTTAGTGATTCACTACCGAACAATGTCTTGCCCTTATTAGAACAGCTCTTAGAAACCATAATTAAAAAAAACCGTAACATTCAACATCCTTCAATGGAACTGTAGGAATGTTCGTCATAAAAAGGCTGATCTAATATTTTTAGCTAACAAATATAACCCTGTAGTTTGCGCTATTGCAGAGACTTGGTTGAGGCCTCGTTCCATTTTTAGGCTCTCAGGCTACTCTTGTCTGCGGGATGATAGGGATGATGGTTGGGCTGGGTGTACTCTTTTTATTAAAAGACCCATTCCCTTTACCAAGCTCCGTATTCCCTCTCATCCCCCAGAATTCCATATTGTTGCCTCTAGAATTAATGTTTCATCATTTGTTCCTGTTTACATTCCCCACCCCAATCCTAACATCATTTCAAACTTAAGCTCTATCCTTTCCTCTCTTCCTGCTCCTCTCTTAGTGATGGGAGATTTTAATTGTAATTAAAAAAAACCGTAACATTCAACATCCTTCAATGGAACTGTAGGAATGTTCGTCATAAAAAGGCTGATCTAATATTTTTAGCTAACAAATATAACCCTGTAGTTTGCGCTATTGCAGAGACTTGGTTGAGGCCTCGTTCCATTTTTAGGCTCTCAGGCTACTCTTGTCTGCGGGATGATAGGGATGATGGTTGGGCTGGGTGTACTCTTTTTATTAAAAGACCCATTCCCTTTACCAAGCTCCGTATTCCCTCTCATCCCCCAGAATTCCATATTGTTGCCTCTAGAATTAATGTTTCATCATTTGTTCCTGTTTACATTCCCCACCCCAATCCTAACATCATTTCAAACTTAAGCTCTATCCTTTCCTCTCTTCCTGCTCCTCTCTTAGTGATGGGAGATTTTAATTGTAAGCATACTTTGTGCTTGTGACATTTCATCTCACTTTATCATAGATATGCTGGACAATTTAAATCTTTGTTTATTAAATGATGGGTCACCTACAAGGAGAGTTTCTCCATTACAGAATCCCTCGGCTATTGATTTGTCTCTTTCCTCAACTATTCTGGCATCTTCAATTAATTGGATGGTTCTGCCTAACTCCTATGGTAGTGATTACTTCCCCATAGTATTAAATTTATGTAAAGCTATTCCTCCAACAGTCAATCACATCCCTCTGTTGAAGTACAGACTTCATTTAGCAGACTGGAACAAGTTTTCACAGTTAATGGATCAAAAACTTGCATCTCTTCCCCCCAATACATCCTTATCCCACTCTAATTTACATGATATTTACAATTATTTTGTCACTTCTCTACTAAGTTCAGCTGACCCCGCCATCCCCAATAAAAACACGTCTCTTAAACGCCTTCGCTCTCCCCCCTGGTGGGACAGGGATTGTACTATCAGTGTTCAGTATTGTAACGAAGCTGAAAGCAAATATGTTTCAAATCTAACAATGGATAATTATTTACTTTATCGTAAGGCTTGTGCACAAACCAAAATATTGCTTAGCAAAAAAAAAAAATTAGGTTGGCAGAGGTTTTGCGAATCTCTGTCCCCACGTTCTTCTCCATCCTTGGTGTGGAAACGTATAAAATCTTTTCGCAGGTCTTGTGAAAATAATTTTTCATGTCTTGCTTATCATCACACAGATAGTTGGTTACCAAACTTTATTAGTAAATTATCTCCTCCTTATGTTCCGTTCCGTGACTCCCTTCCTACGGATTATTCTCATTCTTTTATATATCCAGATAAAATGAATGATGAATTTTCCTATCCTGAACTGCTTTGTTCCCTGGACCATCTTCGTGACTCTTCACCAGGCATAGATGGAATTCCCTATTCTTTTATTATCAAGTCAAGCAAATCTACTCACATTTTATTTCTTAAAATCATTAATACTATTTTCTTATCCTGCTGTATACCTGACTCCTGGAAAACCCAAATTATCATACCTATTCTTAAACCAGGCAAAGATCCATAAGAAGCCTCATCATATCACCCTATAGCTCTGTCTTCTACCTTATGTAAAATTATGGAACACTTAATTAAAACCCGATTAGAGTGGGTTCTAGAGAATAGGGGTATTATCCAATTATCAATTTGGCTTCAGGAGGGGAGGGGTACACTGGATAGTTTAAGTATCTTTGTCTCCAGTATCCGTCAGGCTTTCAGTAATAGCCAGCATGTTATCGGCGCTTTCTTGGATGTTACTTCTGCCTACGATAATGTCCAGATTCCAATACTCAGGCATAAAATGCTTCAACTGAGTATCCCTGAGAGACTGGTCAATTTTATATCTAATCTATATAGTGTTCGTTCCATTTCTGTCCGTGCTAATGGATCAATTCAAACATCTAGATTGGTGTGGAAGGGGTTACCCCAGGGCTCTGTACTCAGTCCTCTATTGTATAATGTGTACACTTATGATCTAGACCACTCCGTTTCACCCTATTGTAAAATTTTACAATATGCTGATGACATTGTTCTGTACGCCGTATCATCTTCATTAAATGATGCTGCTGGTAAAATTAACTCTGCATTAGCATATTTGAGTGATTGGTTTGACAATCAAGGTTTATCTTTACCATTTTCTAAATGCAATGCGGTGGTATTCACGAGAAAGCGCCATGTTCCAAGCATTAATTTGTTTATTGATAGACATCCTGTAGCTGTACTAGACTAAGTAAAATTTTTAGGCGTTATATTAGATTCTAAATTGTCTGGTGTACATCATCTCAACTATGTTAGTAATAAGTGTGAAAAAGGTGTAAATATTTTGAGATCTTTATCAGGTGTCCATTGGGGATCACATCCTTATAATCAAAAATTATTATATAATGCCATTGTCAGATCACATTATGATTATGGTTCTTTATTTCTTTAGAACCTTGCAATAAGAATGCACTAAACAAACTTTAGAAAATTCAATATAAATGTCTGCGCATCATCACTGGTGCCATGAAATCCTCTCCGAATTTGGCGTTACAAGTTGAATGTCTAGAACCTCCCCTTCATCTACGTAGACAATATCTTGCTGATAGATATTTATGCAATATAGTTCAATACAGCCATCATCCCCTTTTAAAAATCTTACATTCCTTGTCGCAGTTAGCAACTACTTCTGTTTACTGGAAACATAAGAACTTGCCTCTGCTTATTAAGTCATACCGAAAAATAAAGAACCTTTCTAAACCAGTTTTCAAAATTATAAAATACCCAATTTTTATGGTAGATTATGAGGCGCTAGTTTATAGGCCTAGGGTTATTCTATCGATGGGTATAGATAAGAACTCACCCAATGTCCATATCCAATTTAATAGAATTCTTGAAACTGAGTTTAATGGCTGGATGACATTTTACACGGATGCCTCAAAGTTGAATGATGGTGTAGATGTGGGTGCTGCTGTCTGGTTACCTAGGTACAAAATTATATTGAACTTTAAATGCCCTCCTCAATGTTCTGTTTTTAGTGGAGAGGCAATAGCTATTTTAGAAGCTGTATCTTATATTGAATCCCATCAACTAAATAGATCTATAATTTTCTCTGATTCATATAGTTGCTTACAAGATATCTTGAAGCTCCCATTTCACTCTAAAGATAACTTTTTCTTAACACTAAAAATTAAGCAAGCATTATATAAATGCTACTGTGCTGGTCTACAAGTAGTTTTAGCATGGATTCCAAGTCACTGCGGCATTCTTGGAAATGAAAAAGCAGATTGCTGTGCCAAAGAAGCAATTCAGCTCGGAATCCCTAAGTATAATAAATGTTTTGTGCGTGATCTGCGTCTCTCTGCCAAACATAATATGATATGGGTTTGGTATGGTGACATGTGGCGGGCGATTGGACGTGAAAGGTGTAAATATTACAGTCTAATTCAACCTTTTATACCTACCAAACCTTGGTTCTTTAGATATAGATGCTATCACAAAAAGACTACATCTATTATCATCAGGCTCAGACTAGGCCATGTATGTTCACCGGTGTTTCTGGCTAAACTGCATATTCGAAATACGTCTTTGTGTGAATGCGGGTTAGATGAGGGTACTCTTGATCATTTATTCTTTAGTTGTCCTATGTTATCAGTCCCTCTATATGATCTACACCCACCCACTATTGTACGTCCTGTGAATGTTAGTTGTTTGTTAACTCTTGTCTATGCCCCATTCATTAAAACTCTAGTTAGATTCATAGAAATTAACAATATACGGCCTTAAGCTGGTTTATAAGATTTTTGTTTTTCGCCTTTTTTTGTTCCTGTTCCTTTTTTTTTCCGTTTTTCTTTCTCTTTATTTATGTATGGCTGATGTCCCATGACTAATGACCATGTTACTAATTACTAATAAGGTGTTTTGTTCCTCTCTTTACAGGTATGCAACTGAAACTGGTTTAATACAGTAGGTTATTATTGTCATGTCCTTAGCCTAATCGATCTCCAAGTACCAAGTTGTTGGCAAAATCACTGACGTATCAGTGGAGCCATAGTAGGGAAAAAAAAAATTTCAATGCAAATTAACAGTTATAATAATATTTTAATTTATGTTTTTAAGTTGAATTAAATACTACATATACAATGGCTATTTTATTGCACTTTCCAGATCAACAGTTCGTGGGTACAGCACTGAAGAGAAGGCGGCAGAGGATGCCTCGGGCGACAAGCAGCTGCCAACAAATTTGGAGGAGTGCCACAAGCAGATTGAGAGCCTCAGTACAGAAGTCTCAACACTCAAACAACAAGTCAAAGATTATGAAGTAAGTTACCTTGTTTATGAAGTTTGTTGTAATTCTGAACTGCTTTAGTACCATTTTTCTTTTGTTAAGAACCACACTACTAGGTGACAGGCATGCTTGTTTCTCACATTAAAAAAATAATTCTTTCATAAGCAAAAGTGTATCGTTCTTTTTGATTGCTATATTATTTTTACCAAGCTTACAATGACTTAAATTAAGGTTGATTTGAAGATTTTTCGAAGGTTGTCATCCATTAAGGGGCTTATGATTATTTCTACAATATCCTAACCCCTTGGCTGCAGACTGTTAGTCTAAAAGTTAACTACATGTTTTTGACGGTGATGACAATTTTCCAGGATAAATACAAGCGTGCACTAGCAGATGGAGAGAATGTGCGAAGGCGAATGATGAAGCAAGTTGAGGATGCCAAGTCTTTCGCAATACAAAGCTTCTGCAAAGATCTCCTAGACGTAAGTTTCACAAGGCATTGGTAAACATGTTTGTCATGTAATGATAGATTGTCACTTATTTATAGGTAGTAAAAGGTGCTTTGTAAAAGAACATCAGTTTATATTAAAGGTATAATGTTAATTGAAAACATTCAAATTTTAATAGACAATTACTGATTACAACCAGTGCCTTTATGACTTGTAATTAATAAATCTAATTAAAACATTTCCCTTTAAAGAAGTTTATTTCTTATAAAAACTATAAAATCTTTTTTAGAATATGATTAGAAGTTAAATTTGATTATGAAATAATGTGTTTACACTTCTGGCACATACATTTTTAAATTATATGAAAAGTAGTATTAGATTTTTGGCCTAAAACGAATCTCTGATGTTCGATCGATAGCTACGTAAATAGTTGTATTGTTGACACTGTGTTACTATTTATTAACCTGAATGTGGTTTTCTAGAGTTCTAAACGGGCACAGTTGACAAATGCCACACAGTTTTTGTCAGTTCCTTTTTGTATCAAACCTGATGATAGGTCTGGGTTGCCATTTACGGACATAAACACCAGCAAAGATTTAATGCCAATAACTGTTAGACTGTGACCTTCATTCATAGAATATATAAATACTTTGTTTTCTCTGTAATCGTCCTCTGCAGTTATACTTCCCCATCAATTTGTGCTTCATCACAGTGTAATGCATCCATTTCTAGTATTTCCTTCTATTTTATAATAGAAATTAGTAACAGCCTATACATACATATCCCTCTTCTAGGCAAAGGCCTCCTCTGCACAGAGAGTATTAGGGTATAATCCATCACGCGGCTCCACTGCGGATTGGCGGACTTCACATAACTTTGAAATATCTTTCATTCACCCCTAACCATTTGATAAAATTAATAATTTCATTATTACCAGCACCAGGGATTGAACTCAGGTTGCTTGAGTAGTTGGCTTAGCTTTGTAATTTGAAAGGTGTGAGTACTTGAACTTAGTAATTTGAAAGGGCACAGAGCTATCATGGTTCACTTCTGGAAATAGAAATTATACATAATATACAAAATATATAAATAGTGATAACTACCCGCAGGTAAGTTAGACTGTGCGGGTAATTATCACCGGCTCAGTGGTGAAGGAATACATAGTGAGGAACATATAACTATTTCGAAGATATTTGAACTCCGCTAATACGCAGTGGGCCCGCGTGGCGTACTATGGCCTTATACCCTCTGTACAGAGGAGGCCTTTGCCCAGCAGTGGGATATGTACAGGCGGGTACTTTACTTTTTTTTACTACCCTCAGGTGGCAGATACTTTAGCGGCAGCGGCGGAGAGCGTTCCCGAGAGGGCGGAGGCGTCAGCCGAGGGGGCTGCGGCGGCTCTACGCTCCCTCCATGACGGCGTGCGCCTCACTCGCGCTCAGCTCGAACAGGTACGTCTCTCACAATCTACTCGTTACAGTTGCAAGCAGCTGTAATGGGCTGCCCATGCAGACAATAAAACAAACTGGCTGCTTTCTATCGAAATATGTTTTAAATGGAAATTGCGTGTGTAATATTTTTTACATGACTGTTTTCAATTCTAGGTCTTTTTATTTTTGCATAGAAAAAATGCATGCTCAAGGGGTGAAAATATTGAGTTTACTTGTTTTCCTGGGAGTGTTACCTGAGAGAGGCAGCTTCGAATACTGCAGCGCTGAAGTTTTTGTCCGTTTATCTCCAAAAAGTTACATTTCATAATTCATCTCTGGTGGTCTCTGTTGAGACTGGCACTAAAAATATAATATATCAGTAATTATTTATGTCCAGGTGATTATTTCTTTTTTTATTTCCAGTTTAGGGTTCTGTACACAAAGGGTAAGATGGGACCCTATTACTAAGACTTCGCTGTCTCTCTGTCTGTCTGTCCGTCTGTCACCAGGCTGTATCTCATGAAATAGTTGGACAGTGGAAATTTTATTTCTGTCGCCGCTATAACAAAAAAAAAACACCACGAATTTTTTTAATATATTAACAATATATTGATACTGACTATGTCTTTGCTGTCTCCCTAAATCTTTCCCATTCGTACTAAGCGCTCCATATTTTATTTATTTTAATTAATATTTATTCTAATTATCTCATAAAAAAAAACTTTCAGGTGTTCTCCCGCCACGGTTTGGTTGCAGTGTCACCGTTGAGGGAGAAGTTCGATCCCAACCTTCATGAAGCCTTGTTCCAGCAGGTAATATTTTTACGTATATTGTATACCTTATCAGTGATATGTGAATATTAAACTAGGTTATTCGGTGTTGAGTTTATTAAATTTTCTTTTTTCTTCTGCCTCATTTATGCTGTCGGTGTAACATGTAAATCATGTTGTTCATTCATTCATCAGATCTGGGTGTATGTCTAGATGAAATTTATGGATATAAAAATCAACAATATTTGCATATCATATATTATTGCTGAACTTGGAGGTCAATAATTGTTAACCAACTTCTTAATCACCCAGTTTAAGGGCAAATAAAAATTATTATTATTGTTGTGGTCAGTTACCTCTTCTCTTTTGTTTATAAATATAAATAAACACCTATATTTATATTTATAACTAGCTGGCCTGCGCAACTTCGTCTGTGCTAATTCTACCGGGTCCATGTTTCTACTTTTAGCATAGCGCCATCTATCGGATACTTACTCAATCCAGTCTATAAATTTATCTTACACAGCCATCTGTTAGTATCTTATGGGGCTCACAGATAGCTCTTTGTCATCTAATAAACAAATAATTTGCAATAACAAATATTGAGATCAATAATTGAGATAAAAACTACCATATTGGCCAAGTTGGTTCAGTAGTTTCGGAATTTATCACAAACATTCCGTACATCTTGACACGATATTTTTATATATTAGAAATTGTATATCATTTATAAATATAAAAACGTAGTGTCGGACGTCCCCCTGTCAGGTGGACCGATGACCTGAGAAAGGTCGCTGGTAGTGGCTGTATGAGGAAAGCGGAAGATCGTACTCTGTGGCGTACTCTTGGGGAGGCCTATGTCCAGCAGTGGACTGCATAAGGCCGATTGATTGATTGATTATTAATATATATGACCCAACCAGACAGCAGCCCTCAGGGAAGGGAAGACCGGACAGCTAAGTTGGGGCTATAGGTATAATTATTATAATTTTTAAAAAATCCGCCCCAGGAAGTGGAGGGCTGCGAGCCGGGCACGGTCGTGGCGGTGAGCAAGGTCGGCTACAAGCTGCACGAGAGATGTGTACGCCCCGCCCTGGTGGGTGTCTCCAAGGGGTAGGGCGGCAGACGGGGCGGTGTGCGGACTTGCGGGGGACGCTGTATGGCCCACCTCGCGCCGGATCCGCCTCAGAAGATGAATATTTTCCGACGGTTTTATACTATAGTATACAATGTCCCGGTACAATTAAGTTGTGCGTATGTTTGTTGGATTTTTTTTTTTACTGTAGATGTAGAATAGATATTATCTGGACTCTTGCGAGAGAGATTGGATGTAAATGTCATATAAATATATTTCGGTATTGTTAAGGCCTTAAAGGCTTATTCGACTACAATTTAAAATTATATGCTCCTTGTATTGCATCTTTTTAAATTTGATGTTTGCAAATGCAAATTACAGAAATTAATAAAAATATTTGTATCAGTTTTGTCAAGTTCATTAGTCACCTTAAACACATTTGCTTTTATATATTTCCTCATAATTACTTTGTCACAATTTAAATTCATTTGTTTTACTTCAAGACCTCTAATGAAATGACCAATCAAAATCTAGAGTTTGTTTGGACTACAGACAATATATATGGCCTGTTAGTTTAACGGAAATGTTTAAACTTATCATAAATATGGTTGTTTTAAGTACATTTTATGATGATTGATTGCATTTTTGTACTGGCACTGCATCGGTCCTATGCAAAAGCGCTAAACTAGAGAGAATTTTATAGTTGATACTAGTTTCCGGTGCACCTTTGTAGCAAACACAAAAACTTTAAACATTAAAAAGCTTTAAATAATTATTTCTAACCATTTAAAACATTCTTTCACAGTTCTACATGCCTTTGTACATAATAGACGGTGCCAGTACAAATTACATGGGTTTACGGTTTATCTGTATATTTTCTGAACAAGCACAACTATCTAGATTGATTCATAGTGCGGGGCAAATCGATATTATTCCAAATGATGTGTCGTGTGAATGAAGATTTTATTGTTCAGGGGTGAGAGTTGATAGTTTATTGCATTAATAAATGGTAAATTGTTGATAGATGTTGTTTTTTTATTTTAAATGAATTCCTTTAGCATTTATTTGAGATTATATATGCATTGTTAATGGCAATTTCGTACGCAATAGTTCAGAAGCAATCCTTACTAATATTACTATTAGATGCGATCGCGAGCGTGCGAGCAACACGTATTCAAATCGCCGTTCTGTTAATAAAATATCTACTTATAAATCTTCTATCGGTAAAGTGAGTGTTTTGATGGAAAGTGATAAGTAAAAATCTCGTAAAGAACATATTACAAACAGTGAAATTAATACAACATAAAAGTGAAACAGTGAAATCGTCCATAACCCTCAATAAATTTATTTAAGCTGGTGTCTACTATTAAACGCGTAAGCGCCGCTATCTACATGGCGCTTAGGACTTTTTAGTCGAAAGCATTGTTCAAGACATTGATAAAAATTAAAGTCCACTGCAGCGTAATCGTCCGGCACGCGGCAGTTGTTTACCTGCTACTACCTTCATACAATTATTAAAAAATATTCTTTAATAATATTAAAATGTCGTCAAAGTGCAATACATGTAAGCAAGCAATACCAAAGAAGGAAGAAATATCATGTTCAGAATGCGTCAAGAAATATCATTACACCTGTCTTAATATCAATGAAGCTAATTTCAAGAAAATGTCGTCTAGATATTTAAAAAGTTATAAATGTTTTGCTTGTTCACCTACTGATAACAAAAAAGGGAACTCTAGTACACCAGCTAAACTGAACTTAGTAATTTCACCGGAATCCGAATCGCATAAGTATGAAAATTTAATTCTAGCAGACCTTGAAGGCTTATTGGATAAAAAGCTCATAGAAATTAAAAATGCCATCATTGCTGAATTTAAAGAAAACATTATGGCAGAAATCAACACAAAAATGTCTGCGCTGTCAACTGAGCTCCAATCCATAGCTGAGTCGCATGCTGCTTTGCAGAACGACCATTTTAGACTGAATGAGGAATGCATCGCTTTGAAGAGTCAGGTTACCATCTTGGAGGATACTTTAAGTGAACTTCGTAAACAAGGTTCTAGACAACAGCAATGGTCAAGGCTGCAGAACATTGAAGTTTTCGGGGTTCCTGAACTTAAAAATGAAAACGTAAACGAAGTTATACTAAAGATCTGTGGCCATGCAGGAGTCCAGATTAATGAAAAGGACATTGAATTCGCAAGTAGGGTACAACCACAGAAACGAGTTGAAGGTAGACCGAGAGTCATCGTTGCAAAATTTTCTCGAAGGTATTTAAAAGACAGTGTGATCTCTGGCCTTAAAAAATCACGTGGAGTCACAACAAAAGATCTAGGTATACTTGGTCAACCTAAGCCTATTTATGTTAATGATCACCTTACTCCCGAAAACAAAGCTCTTTACAAGAGGTGCAAATTAAGGGCAACTAAGATGGCCTATAAGTTTGTATGGACAAAAAACTGTTTAATTTTTACAAGGAAAAACGAAACATCGCCGGCAATATCGATTTCATCAGAAAAAGATTTGTTAAAAATAACTTGACGTCTTTAAACTTTAATTGGTATAACAAATATGGTTTATTTTGTAACATTGTATTTTACACTATATTCATTCCAAACACAAATAACATTACACTTTTATGTGCTTTACTTTCTCGCGGGTCGCGTATTGAAAATTTTAATTCATGTTTATTTTCCTTAATATCGGTATGCATCTTTGAGACATTGTCGTTACTAATAACTAACTTCCAATTCACCATAATTTATAACAAAAGTTCCATTCATTTTACCAACAATAATGAGTAGTACATTCACTTTTTATTACCAAAACGTTAGAGGTCTCCGGACAAAAGTAAATACATTATATCAGAACATTCTTAGTAACGATTATGATTTGATATTATTAACGGAAACTTGGCTTAATGAAAGTATTTTATCTAGTGAATTCTGCGATAACCGATATGAGGTATTCAGGTGTGATCGTAGTTTTAAATCTTCTCAAAAAGTTATTGGAGGAGGAGCATTAATTTGTGTTAAACGTCTTTTTCATGCACAAGAACGATCAGAGTTTTATCGAGATGGTATTGAAATGGTTTGGATAACTGTTACAACTTGCTCACTAAGCAGAGTACAACGTCGCCCGGTACACATTGGGGTAGCATACATTCCTGGCGATAATTTGCAGTCTTATCGTCTGACGCTTGTGGAGGAAGTAATCTCCTCGATGGTAACTATACATCCAAATGATATTATTATATTAGCGGGTGACTTTAACTTACCAAATATTCACTGGACACCATCGGGCCCCAATCATATACGAGTAGGAACTACTGAGATTCAAAATGCGTCCATAAATTTTACATGCAAAAACTGAATTTTTCGGGACTTAAACAATACAATTTTAATAAAATTGTAGTAACCATGTTCTTGATTTATTAATTAGTAATACTTACCTTAGAGTATCGTTACCAAACGTACCTTTAATATCAGAAGATCATTTTCATCCGGCCTTAGAAATTGATGCCTCCGAAATTTTAGTGGCTGAAAAACAACCTAAACCAGCAACTAAATATAACTTTTTTAAAGGAGACTACGACAGTATAAATAGCGAATTAAGTAAGATTGATTGGATATCTTTATTCAAATATAAATCAACCGAAGAAATTACTGCAATATTGTATAAAGAATTATATAATTTGATAGATAAATTCGTTCCAAAGTCAAAGTGTTATAAAAGGCATAAATATCCGGTATGGTTTTCTAGAGCTCTCATATCTATTATTAGGGAAAAAAGTTCTGTGCATCGCAAATGGAAAAAGTATAACAATCCACGAGATTACGACGAGTTTAGATTATTAAGGGACAGACAGCTTAAAGTGCAACGAGAGTGTTATGCATTCTATATGAAACAAATTCAGAAAGGCATTACTAAAACTCCAAAATTGCTATGGAACTATGTAAAATCTAAACGCTTAACTTATACTGGTTATCCAAGGGTTATGTATTTGGGTTCCAAAGAATATAAATCGGAGGAAGAAATTAGCTCAGCCTTTAATGGTTATTTTGAGAGTGTATTTTTAGATCCTGCTCCATCATACAAAATTTTTTCGATATCCGCAATAAAAGAAAATGTTGACAATATACATACCTTAAAAGTTAGTACTAAAGAAGTTAATAAACTATTATGTTCGTTGAATAGTAATAAAGGACCAGGTAGTGACCAAATCCCTCCGGTTTTCTTGAGGAATTGTGCAGATCACCTTTCAGTACCTATAGCTATCTTATTTAATCAGTCATTAAGTGAAGGAGTCTTTCCTTCTAAATGGAAAGAATCACATGTAATTCCAATCCATAAGAAAGGGTCTAGGACTAAAATAGATCACTACCGTCCCATATCAATTTTAAATGTACTAGGGAAATTATTAGAGAAATTTGTATATAAAAATCTGTATCCTATTTTGGCTCATGCAATTCCCAATACACAACACGGTTTTATTAAAAATCGATCTACCGTCACTAATCTTAGTATCTTTACAAACGACATATTTAAGAATATGGAAGATGGGGCACAAGTTGACGTGATCTACACTGACTTTGAAAAAGCTTTCGACAGAGTGGATCATGTCATCTTGCTGCACAAGCTACACTTATTGGGAATACATGGAGACTTGTACCGCTGGATAAAAATCGTATATTTCTAACAGAAAACAAGCGACTGTAATAGGGAGTTGCAGATCCGACTTTGTTTCGGTAAAATCGGGCGTGCCACAAGGATCCCACTTGGGCCCACTTCTCTACAACGCTTATTTATTTGACATTCAGACATATATTTTGCATTCCAGAGTATTAATGTTTGCAGACGATAAAAAAGTTTACATTACAGTAAGAAAAAAAGAAGATTGTCAGCTTCTTCAGAATGATTTAGACAACTTGGTAAAATATTACAATAAAAATAGAATAAGCATTAATGTAGAGAAGTGTACCCAGATAACCTTTACGCGTAAATTCTGTCCGATTTTGTTTCAATATACTATAAACAAA